CCCCCACCAGCCTCTCTCTCAGCTATTGACTCCTCAATCTACCTTTTCACTGACTACCTGTTTTGTATGCATACCAGCCCAGCCTCTGGCTTCTTTACTTTTCATTCCATCCAGGAAGAGCTCACACCAACTGCAGAAACTTCCTTAGCCTGACAAAGGGTTTTTGAACCCGAAAGCTTGATTAATAATTGTTTTCCAACTATTTAAGTTGGTCTAATAAAAGATACCAGATTCACCCAAAGAACCTTGTCTGACTATATACATAGATATCAGTTGAACATAATGTTTTATTGATATATTTACTATCTTAAAGCAATTTGAAAGCCTACCAGTGTCTCAATCACTATAATAAAATAAATTTGAATCATCTATAAATATGGCATTTGATTTTGGGTTTTTTATCACGGAAAATCAGAGCTCTTCCCTGCCCCCGTCGCTCACCAGGACATGTGTGTCCATCCCGACCCATCCCCCACACCTGCTTTGTGGCTCTGAGCAGCCCTGATATGTCAGTGCCCTGCCTATGCCATTGCCCCTCACTTCCAACCCACAGCCCCCCAGTACTGCTAGTGCCCCTCATTCCTGGCTCACAGCCTCTGCAGCCCTGCTGGGGCCCCCCATTCCTGGCCTACAGCCCCCTCTGCCCCTGCTGGTGACCCTCACTCCACAACCACAGCCCCCTTGCCCCTCCCAGCCCTGCTGAAGGGAGCCTCCAGCTGCCAGGGCTATGGGGCCAGGGACCCAGGTCCACAGCCCCCTGCCCCCCGCAGCAGTGCCCGAGCCCTGGCTGCCACCCATGGGAGGCAGCAACCGTTACGGTGGAACAGAATGTGGAGCCTGACTCCCCCTCCCCCATGGGCGGCACAGCCAGAGCCAAGCCCATAGGGGGTGGCGGTGAGGTCTTTCCCCTCTGGCCTTGGGCTTCTGCCCTGCTGCCCTTTCCTCAGGGCCTCTGTAGTCCAGCAGAAAAGACCAAGTGCGACACGGTAAAGTAGGGCAGGGCAGGAAAGCTTACTGCCACCGCTGGGAGCTCCACGCTGCCATGGTGAGGCACTCCTGCCCACCTGGAACCAGTGAGACCCAACTCCATGCAGCCACCCCCATTGCTGGCAGGGAAGCAGGGGGCACTTTGCCATGGCACTGCAGTGCTCCTGGCTGTAGCACCAAGCTTCACTGCCCAGCCCCGCTCTCCTCTGCAGTGCCCAGTCCTACCCACTGGGCCACAGAGGCCCCAGGGGGACATTAATAAGGCAGGGAGCCCAGGCCCACAGCATGCAGCTTGCACCCATCCTTGCCCCACACACAAATCTGGGGGGGCACATGTCCCCCATACCTCCCCCCTGGGAGTGCACACAGCGCTGGGGAGCCGCCCCGCCCCCCACCACCTCCTTCCACTCCTCACCTGGACCCTGCAACCGTGCATTCCAGCCCTGGACCCCAAGCTGGCTGACACTACTGGCTGTAGGCCAGGAATGAGGGTGTTTTCTTCGATCCTCCCAGTCTCAGGCTATGGGCTGAGGAGGAAGAGGAGGATCCAGGTAGTCAACCAAAGACTGCGGCGCTGGTGTCATCGGGAAGGCTTTGGCTTCCATGACCACAACCCACTCTCTGGTGAGAGAGGCAGTGAGCTGATAGGAAGGAATGGCTTCCACCTCTCTCCGCTGGGGAGGAGGGTCTTCTTAGCCAGACTGGCTGACCTGCTCCACCGGGCTTTAAACTAAGCCCACCAGGGAATGGAGGGACTACTACCACTGCTGGCCCACTGAGCAACCTTTGCAATGCCAGCAGGCCAAGGCATTTAAGGGATCCCACCCCTGCTGCAGCCCTGGAATGAACTGTAGGCAAGGCAAGGGCCCCCAAGGGGACACATGTGTGCCTATACACAAATGCCAGGAGCTTGGGGAATAAACAGGAGGAACTTGTCCTCCTGCTAAAGGCAAATAACTATGATGTCACAGGGATAATGGAGACCTGGTGGGACTCCACCCATGACTGGGCCACAGGTATAGATGGCTATACCCTGTACAGGAGGGATTGAGTGGACAAAAGGGGCAGGGATGTAGCTCTCTATGTCAAGGAAAGCTACGCGTCCCTGCAGGCCGACATTGGCACCCACAGTGGACGACTTGAGACCCTCTGGGTTAAAATCTATGGGGAACAGGGCACAGGAGATACTATGGTGGGAGTCTACAATAGACGCCCTGCCCAAAGTCAAGACCACGACCAGGAAGGAGTCTGCCAGGGAATTGGCTGAGGCTGCATGCTCCCGAAGTATGGTTGTCATGGGAGACTTTAACTACCCAGACATCTCACGTGAGGAGCACTCAGCCAAATCTGAGCAGTCACAAAGCTTTTCTCTCATATAGAGGATGACCTCTATCTGACACAGGAAGTGTACAGACTGACAAGAGGTAAAGCACTGCTCAACCTCGTACTGGCAACCAGGGATGACCCAAATCAGCAACCTAACAATCGAAAGGAAGCTGGGGGACAGTGACCACAAGCTGATCACCTTCACCATCCGCCGTAAAGCTGGCAAGTCAGTCAGTAATACAGAAGTCTTCGACTTCAGAAAAGCTGATTTTGACAAGCTAAGGAGGCCTGTTAGTGAGGCCCTAAAGGGCCACAACCCAAAGGGGAGGGGAGTTCAGGACGAGTGGTTGCTCCTCAAGGGAGCAATCCTGGATGTGTAAGCAAAGTCTATCCCATCTCAAAGGAAAGCCAGCAAAAGGGCACAACAGCCCCCTTGGTTCTCCAGGGAACTGGCGGACCTTCTGCATCTGAAAAGGAAGACCTACAAAGGATGGAGGACTGGAACCACCACCAAGGAGGAATACTCTGCTCTGGTCCAGACCTGCAGAGACCAAACCAGGAAAGCCAAGGCTGTGATGGAACTCCAGTTAGCTACAAACATCAAGGACAATAAAAAGTCCTTTTTTAGATATGTGGGGAGCCAGAGAAAAAGCAAGGGCAACATTGGACCCCTCCTAAGCCAGATGGGACAACTGACAACTGATGCCCAGGAAGAAGCAAACTTGCTAAATGGGTACTTTGCATCAGTTTTTCACTGGTCCCATGAGACGCCCCTA